TTTCAGTGAATAATGAATAATGAATAGATTAAGCCTTTAACTGTCAATATGACATTGTTTTATAAGTATTATGATTCGAACTATATTTTGTGTTTATTGATTATGCAAACATTGTTGTGTATTTATGTTATTTCTTTTCAAATTATTCCATCACATTTTTAAGTGATTTTAAGAAACTCAGCTGGTTTGAATTTTTAAAAAACTATATGTTGATGGACAATTAGTATCACTACCAAGTGAGAATTTGGCAGTATATGGTGAAATTTATTTCTCAAATATCCCTAATGGGGATTGTAGTCATGGCTCAGTTGGTAGAGCACTAGCCAATGAGTGAATACAACAAGTAACAAATTGAAGTTTCAGTCTCAGACCAGAAAAAAAAGAAAAAATATCCCAAATGTATCTGAAACTCAATTAACCTGATGGATAACCTAAGTGGTTATTTACAGAATGTTGATGCATTGTTTTATTGTTCTCACAATTTTACATGGGAAAACTCTGAGTATATGTCTATGTTTTTTTTCTTCCTTTTTTGACTAAATAAATCCTCACTGAAACAATTATAAATACCATCTGATTATTTATTAAGGTTGAAAGGCATTGTCTTTAGTTTCCTTATTAATTCTTCAAGAACTATATTCTCCTTTGTATTGAATAGCCTATTCCCTTAGTCCACCAGAAAAATAAATCTCAGTTTTGGTTTTGTGGAAGCAAGAAGGGCCTGATCTCAAATCTCTGTATACAGTTTTTTAAACATTTTAAGAAAAATGAAGCTCTGCTATAATTAATGCCTAATGGTAAAAACACTCCTGTCTTATGGTTGCCTAGTAACTACATACTGCTTGCTTTGGGGGCTGCTAAAGAGACTGAAGAAACCAGTGCATCCAGATCCATTTCAGTGCAGGTGGTTGAGGGCCAGCAGTGGGCTACATCCTTTTGTTAAAATCATTTGTCCAAAATGGTTTTCTACTACAAGGCCATTTTATATAAAAACTTACCCTTGTAAATGATTTTTGCAAGATAAGTGCCCAAACCAACAAGAAAAGTTTTTTAAGTCACACACACACACACACACACACACACACACACACACACACACACACACACACACACACACCAAATACACAATACAACTAGAGAAACTCTGCTTAATTGTTCTATTTTAACCCCAATATCTATTACAGTGGCTGGATCAGGGAATGTTTTACTGCATTTTTAAGTCTCCAGCAAAACTTGGTGTTTGCAGTTGACTTACCAGATAGTATTCCAGGTTTAAAGGTGGTATTAGAAAGGACTAACAGTGATTATAATGATTATTTACATTTAAGTTTGGAATGCTTCCTACATAATTATGTTTCAATTTAGCTTAGGTAAAATTAGTTTGTTTCACTTTAGCTTAGGTAAGATTACTTTGCATTCCCTTGGCACACACCGACTAGAGTTGGTGAATGAGACACTCCAAATCCATAGGTTGTTGACAAGTGTGGCTGACTAGATTAGAATTAAATTTGCTGCAAAAAAAATCCACAAACCCTACAGCATATGTAGATAATGACAAGTTGCCTATGAGGGAATGTAGTTAGGTCATATGAAAACTCCTTTCGGGCAATGTCTTGATTTCAAAAACATGTGTTAGACAGAGTACTGGGGAAGCTTATTTGCATTCTTTGTTCCAGAATTCCTGATGTCAAGATTTGGGGCTTCCTAGGTTGGTTGTCTTCATGTAGACAGGAATAAGTGTGGGCTGGAATATTTAAAGCACATAACTATAGCCTTTTGCATACAGTCAGAAACGATTTGCTACTCGGTAATTTTGTCATTTGGCAATGCTAAGTCATGATAACATATGGTTTGCTCTTCAGAATTATCATAAATGTTGTCATTTGACTGAAATAAAGGGCTCTCTTATTTCCAGATGGAAACTGTTTTAGGATATGTGTGTGTTCCTTTATCTTTTCACATGAAAAGCAAGCATGCCATTGTATCCTTCTGTGGAACTTTCTGGCTTCTTGGTTTGGTAAGTTAGAGGATTTGGCTGTTGAGGTCAAAGCATGGTTTAATCAGGAAACCACTTGGCTCCTTAACCGCTGTCTACATTCCTAGCTGCAACAACTCAATTCTCTGGACTTAAAAGAGACTTGGAAGGGCAATTCTAGAGCTCAACACAGACACCTCTCTTGCAGGGTTTAGGAGAAAAATTTATCCTCAAATTCTTTTGTCAATGAGACATCAGCATCATCATTATGCTTGACGAACTAATGAATGTAAATATTTGATATCTCACCTTCCATTTTAATGCTAAAGAGAATTGACTGATTAAGAATCATTATTTGTTCTTATTATAGGGATTTTTCTATTAGATTTCCATCCAGCTTTCTTCTTTTACCCTGCCTTTCAGAAATTTTCACTCTATCCCTGGGATGTCATTCACTATTATTATTATTTAGCTGCTTAATGAAGCTTTAAAAGATTTCATTTTGAGAGCCATCAAGTTCCTATCCTTTTAGAGACTGTAATAGACCTGGCTTTGTGCAAAGAGCGTTTTAGAAAGAGTTAATTTGCAATTGCAGCAAATTCTCAGGAGAGAATTTAAACCAGCAAGTGTCTTCCTATAGAGAAGCAGCCCCAGGCCAGAACCCAGTTCACTGTGGAGTTAACTCCTTCTGTGCTGCTGCTGTGCAGAAGGCAAGATGCTTATAGCCAGCTTGCAAGCTGAGGCACATCTATCATGGAAGCAAAATGCTGAGGATTCTCTTCCCTAACTCCTAGATTTGTTCAGTTAGAAAGTGTGCTGTCAAATGTTTAAGTCTGTTTTTCACTATATATAAATACGTGTGTGTTTATACACATGAACACACTAGGGAAGAGTGAAGAGAACCACTCCAAAATTATAGATGCATGAATGAATGCAAACTACTTCTTCCTAGTGATACATCATTTTTATTATTTTTAAGTAGTTGTACAATGGAGTTTCAATTCAGCATGCCAATTGATGAGTACAATGTATCTTGATCAATGCCGTTCATTCCATCATTCACCTCCATCTTTCCCAATCCCAACCCATCTTCTCAAATTACCAGCTCCATTTGCACATATGTACATTGAATAGTCTGACTGTGTTTGCCCCCCCCCCCATTTCTCTCTCCATTTGTCTGTCCACTGCCCCCCATCACTCTCCTCCTGGAAACACATTTCAGCTTCAGTCATGCATTTAAAAAAATTGAGCTCAATGTATGAAAGACATCAGGTTTGCCTCTCAGAGATAGTATCATTCCAGATGCCTGGCTAGTAATCTCTGAATGCAATCTATTATTTAATTTTTTCTCTTTATCCCCGGAAGTGATCCAGTTAACTTCTTGGGTAAAAACTACACATGGAAATTTAAAACAAAATTGTTAACTTACTGATATTTGAAAATGCATTTTGAAATTACAAGAAAAATTCTGGCTCCCAAATGTTATTCACTATCAGTTCAATATATAATTTTACTGTCAAATACTTTTCTTTCCCTTTCTAGTCTACATATTCAAATGCTCTAATATTCACATACTTTCTAAGAATATTTGATTAGAAGATTAGAATAACCCATTGAGTAAGTGTAGAAATCAAATTGCTGAGAGGGAGATCATCTATCCAAGTCAAAGAAAAGAAATAAGCACGTCTGCTCACAGGATAACTTGCAGGTAATATTTAAGCTCCTGACCCTTTAACCCTAGAGTTCCAGGTGAAAGTCCTTTCTTGACCTCTCTTCTGAGAGGGAACTTCTTAAGCTTATATTAATCAATCTCTTTCAGGGGCTTTGCAAAAAGGATTTTCTCTGTCCTGGTTTGTGTCATATTTGGATTCAGTTTAGAATGTGGAGTAATTAAAGTGTCAAAATCTTTCATTAGAAGTCCATAAACACACACACGCGCAAAGTGCCTTGATCTGTAACCCTTGGATTGAACTTTTCAGTTATTTATCTTCCAGAATTTCAAGTGCAGGATTTGATTGTGGTTTGATTTTACTTCTTGGAGACATCGCTCGAATGCCTCAATTTGATATTGTGCTTTCAACACATTTTTACGGATCTGCAGATTTGGGTAGGGCTATATGTACCATATGGTCTGGATAAGGTGATAGATTTTCACATTCTGGGACTTGGCAGGAAAGGGTAGGAACTGAATGAGATGCAAGAAAAGAAAAACGAAATATTTCAGGCCTCTTGAGATGGGTATTTTCATAGAATCAATTTTATCAAACGTGTGTGTGTGCGTGTGTGTGTGCATGTGTGTCCATCCATGTGTCCTCTTATGCAAGGGAGGAAGTTGTAAACTCTTCCCAAAATAAAAAGGCTTCCTTAAAAAAGCTATAGCATTTAACACTTCTCAAGTTTTCAGAAGAGATCTCAGGCATGGGTTTGGCATGGGTTGTGTGTGTGGGAGGACATCTCTCCATTTTTCTTGAAAAGGGAATTGTTACAGCAAGGTACCAGCTAAGGCGCAGAAAAAATATAATAACATTGATAATAATAATAATAACTACAACAACAGGACATATGTTTTTCATCTGCTTTAGTGAAGCCTAGGGTTGACGACAGAATGGTTAAAACAAAGCCAGGTGTACAGATCCCAAGAGGGTCAAAACAGCACTCTGGCGACCAGGAAACTGGAACATTGAAGAAAGATGTCTTACGTGATTGCCAAGGGGGCTGGAGGTGGAGGGAAAGGGAAGGATTCTCCTTTGCTGTTACAGACTTCACATCCCTAAGCCGGACGCCGAGCCCGGTCTGTGCACCACTGAGCCACATCGGGACCAGTTCACGTGCCCATTTCTCCTACCCGGACTACCCCCGGGGGGGGGGGGGGCAGCGCCAGCGGGGCGGAGCCGGGAAGGCGGGCGGAGCCGCGGGCGTGGCCGCGCGGTGCCGTCGCGCCACGGGTTAAGCGGCGGGGGCGGCGGCGGCGAGGGGCGGAGGGAGCGCGGTCGGTGGCCGTGGGCTCGGAGGCTGCGAGCGCCTGCCGCGGCCAGCAGCGGGTTAACGCCGCCCGCGCGGAGAGGGCTGAGCCCGAGCCGCCGCTCCGAGCTCGCATTCGGATCCGCTAGCGCAGGAAGATGGCGACGGACCGCGCGAGCTGCGAGCCCGACTTGTCCCGCGCCCCGGAGGACGCGGCAGGGGCCACGGCGGAGGCGGCGGTAATCGAGTTCCAGGCCGGGCGCGGGCGCGGGCGCGCGGGGTTCGCAGGGGGACGTGGAGACGCGGGCCGGGGGGCGGCTCCGGGGTCCCCGCTGCACTCTGCGATGACGCCTCCGGGACGCTTCCAAACCCGCGACCCCCGGGATGCCGCTTCCCGGGTTCTCTGGCTCCCCAGGTCACCCTGGCTCGGGGTGCCCCTTCCTGTCGGGGGGAGGGTGTCTCCCGTTGTCGAGGTGCCCCGTCCCCGGGGAGCCTCCATGGACAGGGGCGGGTTCGGATGGGGCGAGGTGACCATCCGGTACGGGGGTTCCCTTCTAGCTTTTGTGACCTCCCTTTCGTGCATCCGTGGAGACCCCACGCCCGCTCCCCGTGCTGTGGGGGGTATCGGAGCAGGGCGAGTGCTCTGTGTTTCCGGGCGAATCTGACCCCCCATTGTTCACCTCTTGCTGCGCGCGTGGCTGGGAGCGCGAATCTGGGGTGCCTGGCACCTCGGAACGGACCCGGGAGAGCCGAGAGAGGGAGGTGGGCCATCGCCAAGCAGGTGTGGGGATGCTGTGTGTGTGTGTGTGTGCGGGTGTGTGTGTGTGCGGGTGTGCGCGCTCACACACACTGGAGCCTTCGGGAGGCCCATTGGGAGAGGCCCCGCGCCCAGCTGTGGGCGCTGCAGCCGCGGATCGCCAGCCCTTCGTGTCCTGGCTGCCTGCTGCTGCCCATCCCTCAAGTGTCCTTCTCTCCGAGGCGATGCCCAGCGCCCCCGGGGGAGACGGGTGATTGTGCCACCTGGTGTCAAGACATTGTTCCCCTTCTCTGGGGGCTAGAAGCCGAATGCACTTAGCCGAGGTGGGGGGGTGGGTTGAGGTGTGTGTGTGGCGGGGGGGGGGGGGGGCGGCTGATCCTGGCTGTTTATACATCCTGAATATCCCACGCACCGGACGCTCTCTGGTGGTTTCCAGTTCTTACCCTGCAGGAGGGCTGGATCAGGAGGCTAGATCTACTTTCTTCTAGGATGGGGGCAAAACCCCCCCCAAAAAGACAAAAAACGTTTTCAGGGTTTGAAAAGTGCCTCGCAGGAGCCACTGCGCATATCTGTCAAAGATAGGCAGTTGGTGGGAGAGCCTCCCACTCCTGGCTGGTCTCCTTCGGGGGATGGAGTGAGCCGGCTGTGGACGCCTCCTCTGTTTCTCCCACTACTGCAGGGGGGGGGGGGGGGGACATGGCGAGAGCCGCGAAGGCGGGGGAGGGGGGGAGGGCCAGGCGATCAACAGCCTGGACTGCTTTTCCTTTCTCCCACCTCTGGAGGTAGGGCTTGCCTAGAGAGAGATGTGGAGGAGCAGAGGCTGGAAAGGGAAGAGGAGAGCCGGTGTGAACCTGGCAGATACTGAACTAAAACTTCTGGGAAAATTGACTTTGCATGGAAAATGAGAATTTTTCTTTAGATTTTCTTTTTTAAGATTTCAAGGGAAACCTTTCCACTTGTAAGTTACTCTTATCAAGCTCCAAGGAAGGTAGCTATTAAAACAGTAAGCCTCTCTGAGAAGTTGAGAAGCTTGGATGTCCTCATCTTCCAGAGTTGATAAAGGACCAGGAGAACCAAAAAAGAGGTGGTGTGCTTATTGGCCTCCCCCAAAGATGGAATTTTTGTTGTTGTTGTTTAACCTACTTAATGATCTTCTTTGTGCTGCTCTCAATATTTTAATCACTTGACCAACCACAGACATCAGATTTATGATATGTAGCTGATAAATAGTTTTACTTGGTGAGATTGTAAACATAACCTTGTTACCGGGAAGATTTTTGTGTTAATGAGGCCAGTGTTTAAAAAATTTAAGTCTTCGTTTTCACTGCTGATAGAAAGGTATTTGATTATTTTACCCATGTTAATAGGAATAGACATAGAAAAACCTGTGAAAACAAACCTTCTTTGTGAATTTCAGAGGATATTTTAGAGTTCTTTTTTTTCTAATTTTTTAATTGTAAAGATACTGTACAGAGGGGTTACAGTTACACGAGTAAGGTAATGAGTACATTTCCTATGGAGCATTGTTAGTTACCCCCTCCTTTATTTTTTCCCTACTAAACCTTCCCTCCCCACCTCCTTTTAAATAACTTATACTATTCTAAAACTATTCTTTTTAAAAATAGCTTTTGGGTGATTACTTTTTACTCAATAGACATTTGTTTCTTCCCTTTTTTTAAATTTGAAAAGGCTCTTATAGCCTATTTTTTTTAAAGGTAGGTATAGGTTTTTTTGTTTTTGTTTTTCCTTTTTTTCTTGGTTGGCAATTGCTTATCTAATAATGAAATATTGAAGTTGAACTTAGGCATTTTAGGTTCTCATTAATGGAGAACCTTTTCGAAAAATTAGTGAGTAACTTCTTTTTGCATTGTAGAGATTTATTTCATTTCCATTTGGTTTACATATTGTGCCTTTTTATGTATACATTTGGCAGTGTAAAGCCAATGGGGCCTCCAAAGCAGTAGGCTATTTTTGAAAGTGAATGTTTTCACTGTTTTGACTATTTAGATTGTTGCCTAGGAACAAGTTTAATTTATAGTTTTCAGTTTAATATAATTTTCAGTGGAATGTTTTAAATTTAGTTTGTGATCCTTGTTCTTAGCTGTTTAAATCCTAAAAGCATCCCAAGCGTAAAGCTGGCTAACAGCTACATTATTCAACAGGATCATATTAATAGTCTTTTCTGTGAACCGTGCCGGGAGACCTGGGTTATTTTCAGTGCCTTAGCCAAATGTGACGACTTTTATAGGCCATATTGCTATTTCAACTCTGAAAATGAATGCTAATGGATAAGACAGCAGGGAAAACAGGAAATCTTCCTGCTTTTTATTGTCACCAAAGAATTTAGGAGTTCAAGGAAAATTAAGATCTTTTTAGAGCTATATTTGGAAAACCAACCAACATTCCTTTCATTCTGTTTTTTTTTTTTTAGCAACTAATATGCAAAAAGTAGGTATAAATTTTGTTGCCATAGTGATAAGGAGAAAGTTAAGTGTTTTTTTTCCTTTAAAATGAGCAATATAGTGATTAATTAATTGCTGAAATGAGATTTCTTTAGGTGACAGTATTAAATGTAAAAATAATGAGAAGAACTTTTTGGGTAGATCATGGGGTTTGAACTCAGGGCCTGGTCCTGGTTGCTGTCCCTGAGCTCCTTTGCTCAAGGTTTGCACTCATCACTTTGAGCCACAACTCCACTAATATGTTGTTGTTGTGTTGTTTAATTGGAGTTAATTGGTTAATTGGAGATAAGAGTCTCCAAAGCCAGGCACTGGGTGGTTCAAGCTACTAAGTAGGAGGCTGAGATCTGAGGATCATGGTTTGTTGAAACTAGCCTGGACAGGAAAGTCTGTAAGACTCTTATCTCCAATTAATCACAGAAAAGGCTGCAAGTGGCATTGTGGCTTAAGTAGTGGAACACCATCCTTGAGCAAGAGGAAGCTCAGGGACAGCACCCAAGCAGAGTTGGAGCCCTAGAACAGCAAAAGAATAATAGCAGCACAAGTCTCACAGACTTTCCTACCCAGGCTGGCTTTGAACTGTGATCTTCAGATCTCAGCCTCTTGAGTAGCTAGGATTACAGGTGTGAACCACTGGTGCCTGTCTAAAGATTTTAACTTATTTTTTGTTTGTTTTTTTTGTGGGTCATGAGGCTTGAACTAAGGGTCTGAACACTGTCCTAGAGCTGTTTTTTGTCGACTTTGAGCCACAGCTCCACTGCCTCCTTTTTAAAAATATGTTTTAAGGCAGGTTCTTATTATGTAGCTAAAGCTGGCCTGGCCAAAGCTAGTCTTGAACTTGCGATCTTTCTGTTACAACCTTTCTATTAGGATTACACATGTAGATGATCACACTTGGCTTTTAAAAATCTAAATTGTCATTATATGACACCTATTGCATATTGATGGTTAGTAAGTGTTAAGGGGTAATAATGTGAGCATAATATACTTCACTGAATATTTAACCAAGATAAAGAGGAGTCATGAGTAATATCTCTGTCACCCCAGGTATCACATGATAGCAGTAGATGATGCTTTGCATCATTGAGTGAAATCAGATTGTGGTGTCATGAGAGGAACAAATGACTTGCTGTAGAGGTTTTAGGAGGTAGAATCAGAGAGAAGTTCCCTAGAGGAAGGATCTGGAAGCTTGACTGGAATGATGATAGCGTTTATGGTGAACGTGGACAGAGACTGCAGGAAGCAGAGTGCACATGTGACCTGGCCCCTGATGCTCTTTCAAAGACTTTCAAAGAGGAATGTAATAATTTCCACTTCAGCCTCATATATGTACTCTAGAAAGATGCTTATAGAAATTAAAAGATTAGCACACCACTATTCTCCGGAGTGGTGCTTTTTTGTGTGTGCATGCACATCTGCACCAATATTAGGGCTTAGCTCAGTCACTGTCCCTTAGCTTTTTCATTTAAGGCTAGCCCTCTACCAGTTGAGCCACAGCTCCACTTCTGGCTCTTTGGTGGCTCAAGATAAGAGTCGCATAAACTTTCCTGCTCATGGTGGCATTGGGGTCTTTAGATCTCAGCTTCCTGAGTAGCTAGGATTATAGAGGTGAGCCACTGGCTTTTCATTTCTTAAATAAGAGGTTGTATACCTCTGTTTGTCTGGGGACTTTATATCGTTGCTATTATTGCATTTCTCACAGGTGCAATTTTATGTAGAGAAAAATGTTTGTCCTGCTAGTGATGGACTCCATCCTTAGGCTAGATTACCCCATTAATCTTGTCTTCATGGGCTTCAGAAAACTTTTATGAGTTGAGGAAATGTTTGGTAGCTTGGCATCCCTAGTGAATAACAGGTAACTGCAGCCGATCATGTGGACAGCCAGGCTGTGGCTGGAGGAGATCAGACTTCTGCTTTATGGAAAGTAGCCAAAGTAGCCAAAGAGAAGATGACCTCACAGTGCCAGGCCATGGTAAGTGTTCTGCAAATGTTTATGAATGAGGAAAGCTGTGGCATAGTACTT